ATAATTATACCTAGATATTTCATACTTTTCACTCGTTCTATTTCAATTCCATCCAGACATTTCAAAACCGTATTACCTTTCAGTTCTTTTCGAGTACTTCTAACTATCATATATTTCGTTTTACTAGCATTCATTCTTAACTTATTTATATTCATCCAACGTTCAATTATATTAAAAACCGTATTCAATTTTACCTCTATATCCGCGCTACTTTCTCCATTTACATATATAAGCGTGTCGTCTGCAAACATCTTAATATTACACCCTTCTGGACAGGCTTCGATTATATCATTTATATATATTATAAATAATAAAGGTCCAAGTACCGAACTTTGTGGCACTCCGTACTCTGTTGTCAATATTTCAGACCATGCTTGATTGACTCATACTTGCTGTTTCCTATTATTTAAATATGATTTGAACCATTCCAAAGCCATTCCTCTAATTCCATAATAATACATTTTTTCTAATAATCTTTCTCTATCTATTGTTTCAAACGCTCTCTTAAGGTCCATAAAAATTACTCCTACCATTTTTCTATCACTTACTATCAATTTCCATTCATCAATGACAGTTTGGATCGCTGTTTCGCACGAATAGTATTTTCTAAACCCCGACTGATGTTCTGTTATAATATTGTTAGTTTCCAAGTACATTTCAAGTTGTTCTTTAACTACCAGTTCTAACACTTTCTCAAATATTGGTAACATATTAATAGGCCTATAATCACTCGCTTTTACCGCTTTATCTATCTTTCTGATTGGTATTATCGTTGAGGTTTTCCATCCTTCCGGACACAAACCTTCTCTTAAAGAATTATTTATTATATTCGCAAATTCCTCTTTTATTACCGAAAAAACTGCCTTCAATATATCGCTGGTTATCCCTTCCTCCGTACCTTTCTTTTTTGGCAATCCCATAACAATTTTTTCTAGCTGTTCTAGTTTAACAGTCTCAAAGTTTTCCATAATTCTTTCGTTTTTGATAATATAAATAATTTTCTTATTTACATTCATCCAATGATCAATTATATCACCACCGGATTTATCGATCTTTATAGAGTTTACTATGTTATTTAATACTTTGTATATAATATAAATTAAATTTATCAGCTATATTGCACTCTTCGGTATCGCCTAAGATTTCAAAATCTATATTTCCTTCTTTTATACCTACTGGTTCACCCCTAATTATTTCCTTCAATGTTTTCCACATAGATGTAGGGTCTCCTTTATTAAGATCTATCATACATTCATAGTAATCTTTCTTCTTCTCCCTGATTAATTTTATTACTTTATTTCTTTCAATTTTATACTGCAACCAATTTTGATCAATATCATCATACAATGCTCTTCTATAAGCCTTATCTCTACTGTCCGCAGCTTCTCTTATGTCATCTGAAAACCACTTTTTCCCTTCCCATACTTTCGGAATTCTATATTTTTTCTTTGGTGCCATTACATCTAACGCATCCACTATACTATCGATAAGTTGTTTCGCTCTCTCACTGACATCCATACATTCACATTGACAGCCCTGACTTTTCTGTAGTTTATTTTTCACTAATATTAGCAAATTCATTTACTTTTATTTTTTTACTAATATTAGCAAATTCATTTACATCAAACTCTTTATAATTTCTAGCAATAAATTCTCTATATTTACTTTCAATTTTGCTGACATTCATCTCAACTTTCAGCCACGCGTGATCCGTTATTTTAGGTTCATGAATTACTTGTACTATTTTATCATTATTAGCGAAGATTAAATCTATAATTGTCTGACTGTCTTTCGTAATTCTCGTCGGTTCGTTAACATACTGTTTCATACCCAAGCTCCCAGATAGCACATGGACATTCGGTGAATGTCCATTGAACGTCTACTTTTGGACGTCGGACATCCATTTTTGATCCAAAAAGAATCCGTCGGACGTCTAATGGACATCCAAATCACGTACGTTTGACACAACTTTGGACATTCGTCAAATATTCGAAACAGGACTGTTGTCGAACTTATTTTGGACTTATCTTGGATTATCTTAGGACTTACTACGAGATCCAAAGTAAATCCGAAATAGGTCGAAAATGGTCTTATTTTGGATATATCATGGACGTAAATAGGATATATATAATGACTTGCGGATCTAATAATAATTTATTTAAAAATAATAAAATAATTGATTTATTTTAAATATAGACATTTATTAGCTTTTGAGCTTGGCATTGAAAATACTGTTTTAACAATATGCATAATAATATATAAATCTTTATATATATATATATATATATATATATATATATACATATATATATATCTCACAGAATTATCATCTTCCATTTCTGGAACATATCACAATATTACGCATTATAATAAATCTTAACAACTAAAAATTAAATCTTTGGACATGGTCACATATACATATTAGTATCACATACGTACGTATTATAAAATAAACTTTTCGTTTCTGGAAATATCGTAATATTACGCATTATAATAAATCTTAACAACTAAAAATTAAATCTTTAGACATGGTTACATATACATTAGTATCACATACGTACGTATTATAAAATAAACTTTCCATTTCTAGAAATATCGCAATATTACGCATTATAATAAATCTTAACTAGAAATTAAATATTTGAACATGGTTACATATAGTATATGGTTACATTAGTATCACATACGTACGTATTATCAAATTAACTTTAACAACTTAAAACTAAAACTTTGAACGCTATTACAATGTTAATATTACACATCATGTGTGTCATATGTAGATAATATATATGTAGATAATATATCAAAATTCGTCTTCTTTTTCTTGTTCAATTCTTTATTTATCTTCCTTCTTCTTCTCAGCATTCAATCTTTCTTTGGCTCTTCGCAGCCATTTCTGGATCGCCTCTTCTAAAATTTTTTTAGTATATTCGGAATTACTCTCTTGACCGGAAACTGTAATAAAAATCAGGATCTTGTAATCAGTAATTTCTTTTTTGATTATACATGTGGTTTTATTAAGATTAATCATTTAGATAAGAAAAATTGTATTAGTATACAAATAAATAGCATTATGTATATTAGACGCTTACTAATTAACAAGTCAGCGAGTTTTAAATGACAAAACTTTCGCTTTTGTTTTGCTCCAAGCCAACTATATTTTTCTGCTAGCTCATTGGTCAATAAACGAGTACAATTGCGCTTAATAAATTCATAAGGATGTTTTCCTCCAACTCGAGATACTTCTTTAACCTACAATAAATGTTTTGAGTACATTTTATTTTGAAAATTACAAGTGTAACAAATATATTTAATATTAATTTAATAATTTGAATATTTATTATTAATTTTTAGTAATATATTTCCATAGTAAACACTAATTAGACTTACAATGTAATAAAAATAGAATTAAAAAGAATTGAAAAAAAATCAGTTTCATTTTTTGAAATTTATATACTAATTTGATTTAATAAATTTTTATTTGCAATTTGAATTTATTTACTAAGTTAATTTGTATTTTATAATCAACATACCTATTTAAAATTTTAGATCAATTAGCTATAATTGTCTTTAAAATATTTTTGAAAACTTATATCATTGCAAATAATTTAAAATAAAAAATTAACAGCAAACATGAGAATTGCAACAATTTCTGTGTATCATAAATATATAATTATACTATTCAACTACTACTAAAGTATTAGTATCCAACTACTAGTTATAGTTTAATGATAATTAACGAAGTATTATTACTGATGTTTCGAAATTATTTGGTTGGTTTAAAAATTGCTCAACATGCTCTTCTAAATCTTCGATAGAATTAAAAGGAAGATGGAGAAAAGAAAAAATAGACTCTTCTCTTTGATTATTGCCATTTGGCCGTTGACGGATTTGTTGCATCAGTTCATTTTTCATATCTCTTGTAACGGTGCACTCCGATGCACCGTTCCGAATTCCCGGCAACAACATCGCCGGAAGCTGCCGCCCGGTAGAACACCCGCCGGGCAGAGGCAGGGGCGCGGTGCGCCCACATTTTTAATACTTATTAAAACCGGGGCCGTTGTAATTCCAAAACGGCCGAGAATTGCCGAGCGAAGCCGACGCGGCCCGACCGACCGACCGGCGAAAACCCGCGCTCGGCGCAAATCCCGAATCCCTCCGAACGGGCCCGACCGTACCGTACCGCAATTAACCCGTTCGGAAGGGGTAAACCGCCGCGCGCCGACGCGGATAATTAGCCGGTATAAAAAGGCCGTGTTTCGGCTAAAAGGACATTCTCCTGTTCCGCTCTAAGCTGTACGCTCAAGAGAATTTACCAGATACCTGAAAACCGGCACTACCGCCCCGATCAATTAGGTTGAGCGTGCTCAGCCTAAGCCGAGAGTTCTCGTTATCGCGCGGGGTACTGCCTCCATCCGCTCCTCCACATCCCGGCTGGCAAAACCCACGGAAGGTGGAGTTCAGAGCCGCCCCGATCGAGAGTTCTCGAGGCCAGCTGTTTTAAACGCGATTCCAATTTATCGGCACGATATTTCAATTCGCGGGAACCACATATTATTTCGCGAAAATAACGCATCGTTTCTCGGAATCCACCGGCTTTTTCGTTGTACACGGGATTCCCGGAACGACGGGATTCCCCGTGCAAGAAACGCGACAAAAACACCGTCACAACAACGCGAGGTTTTCGACCGATACCGAGCGCATATCCGCACGCGTCAAAACAACGTTTTTAAACACGCGTATTATACCAGCGAATTATCGAACATACGCGCCACGATTATATCGGCGCATTCTGACTTGCATTCTGCACGCGTAATCAAACAATTTATACACTCGAACACGCTCGCAGTTATAATCGCAGCGAGATACACACCCGACTTGTATACACGCCTTAATTCGAATAAATACTTTCTTTTCTTTTACATCACACATTCGCTCACCATTCATTACCCCGAATCCGACGAGTTTATCCGCAATCGAATCTCCGAAAAAACGGAACGTTACACTCTTAAATCATCTGCTATTTGCCATAATTGTGTCCTGAAGTATGATTGCTGACGGATAATTTCTTTAAAATACTGAAGCACTATATTGTAAATAAGAACAAAAATAATAAAGATTACTTATTAAATTTCCAATTTTTTAAAAACTATTAAGATTGTATATGCATATATTGTATATAGAATAGATTCTTGTTCATGCTATCAACGTATACCATGGCATATTTTACTTATAAAGTGCAGAGACAAAAAATACGATCACAAAAATCTTTATTTTGTATAATAAAATAATAAAAATAATAAAAACATGATAAAAATATGAAGTTAATATAATTAAGATAATGATAAACATAATAAAGATAATGGTGATAAAAATGATAATAATAATATTAATAATAATATCAAAAAATAGAATAAATAGTAATAATAATAATTATTTCTTCACAGATATGTTTACTGATAACACAGCCATGAAAGATCATAAAGCTAATTTTAAAGAACATAAATTATATACCAATTTTATTGTTGACATCTTTTGTTTTATTATTTTCTATGTTATGTTCATTGTCTTGCGAAATATAATTATTATTCGAAATGTTTAATGATCCATCCGAAATGTTTAATGATCCATCCGGTAAGTGCTTCATACGTTTATCCTGAACTTCATTAGATAAGTGATCCTGAACTAATCTTGATTGGCTGTTGCTGCTTGCATTTTTGCGACTTGTACTTCTTGATAATTCTATGTATAAAAAAACAATTATGATATTAGTTGTATTACCTCTATAATATAAAAAAGTGAACATATTTTATAATTTTATAGCATATTTATTTTATAATAATTTTATTTTATTAGCTTTTATTAATTTATTAATAACCTTTTTAATTTAAAAATACAAGTTTGACTTTCAATAGACCGTAAGAACCGAACATGGATGATGGTGCATGAGTTTCAACAAGAATTAAGTTGAAACTGATATACGTGTCCTGGGCAACTATTTTTTGGTACAATACCAAGGCATTTAAATAATTCTCGTTACTTCGAGAAATTATTTTGATTTCCCCTCTATTCTCTCTATAACGAGAATTATTTAAACTCCTTAGTATCGTACCAAGAAATAGTTGTGCTCAGAGCACATACATCTATTTCAACGGAAACTTAATTCTCGTTGAAACTCACGCACTATCATCCGCGTTCGGTCCTTATGGTTTATTAAAGTCAAACTTGTATTTTCAAATAGAGAGCTTTATATAATTCCTTACTTTCTAATTTATTAATTTTATTAGCATTTTAGTATTATATAATTATATATAAGATTCTGCATTGGTGAACATAGGGAATTCAATGCTAATTCTGAAATGGTAAAATGTTGGCTCTTCTAACTACTTTACTTGACTATTTTAAAATAAAATTCCATTATCTATATTTTTTTAAAAGGCATATCAAGTATTATTGTATGAAATTAAAAAATTTTTTTATTGGCTATTTTTAAAATATTGTTAAATACAATCTTTTTTATCTCTTTTTATTTTTTAAAATCAAAATTGTATTTAAAAATATTACTATTTAACAATATTGATTTCGTCAATAAAAATTATATAAATTTCAACCAAATAATCTTGATTTGCAAAAAATGTAAATAAAAATTTACTCTAAAATAATTAGAGAAATCAATATTTTAACTTTTCACAATTGACATTAGATTTTTTATGTTGTGTTCGCAAATATAATAGCTAATAATCTTTTAATTAAACTACTTACAGAAGAGCTTGCATTTATATCGATAAACTGTAATTGCTAAATTATGTAAAGCAAATTTTTTCCGAGAAAAAGTATTTGATAATATATAATATAGAGGGTATGTCATTTTAAGTAATGAAGCTGAATATCTCTTAAAGTAAAAGAGATTAGGAAAAATATTTCAGACAAAAGTTATAGGTTTCAAGGAAAGCATAAGATGCTGCCATTAGTTTGACATTAAAGAGTCGCCTGAAGGTCATCTCCAACTTTTTAAATGGGACATCCTATATACATTTACATACTCTTGTAGCTTGCTTCAAGAGCTTTCCAAAACACTATAATTAAATTAAATCGAAAGGAATTAGGCTCGTTATATGTTCAATAACATGATAAGAAAACTAGCGTCTACGAGCCACAGAGGATGATAAATGCCTGGAAAATTCTTTTTAATTGTACGCGAAATTTTAAACGAAAAACACGGCATATGCATATATTTTACTTGGTGCATTTAACCAAGATATAGATTCTCATTTTTGAGAAATTCTATACAACCCTCTTTACCCCCCTGAAGAGACGTAGACGAGAAAAATATCGGGGCGAAGTCGCTGAATCGGGAATCGAACCCGAGTCTTTCGCTTGCCGGGCGACTTGGTTAAATGCACCAAGTAAAATATATGCATATGCCGTGTTTTTCGTTTAAAATTTCGCGTACAATTAAAAAGAATTTTCCAGGCATTTATCATCCTCTGTGGCTCGTAGACGCTAGTTTTCTTATCATGTTATTGACTATAATTAAATATTTTTTCATTAAGTACTTTTCGAATCATGGGGCTTGAAATAATTTCTTAATTTTACATAAGCCATAAATATCTAGTAAAATATTCATTTTTTGATTATCTTACCTTAATATTTTTATGTACAAAATAATGAGAGGAATCCATTACGAAAAGAAAAAGCATAGTTGTTTTTTATTTACACCCATTGATTCTTCTCATTATTTTATAACAAAAGTATTAAAGTAAGATAATCAAAAAATGTGTGTGTGAATATTTTACTAGATTTTATAGTTGATGTAAAATTAAGAAATGATTTCAAGCCTCATGACTCGAAAAGTACTTAATGAAAAAATATTTAATTATAGTGTTTTGGAAAGCTCTTGAAGCAAGCTATAAGAATATGTAAAAGTATATAGGACATCCCATTTAAAAAGTTGGAAGTGAACTTCACGCGACCTTCAGGTGGCTCTTCAAGATTAAACTAATGACACCATCATATATTCCCCTTGAAACCATACAACTTTTGTCTGAACAATTTTTTTATATTCGGCTTACCAACGGAGTTATTCAGGTGGCCTGTTTTAGATGCCTCACCCTGTATATATATATATATATATATATATATATATATATATTAATATTGATATATAATATTAAAACATACTTTGTGTGTGCATATTTGGAGGGGTTGGTAATTTACACTTTTGAAGAGATTCATCTGATGATGAGGATGAGGAAATTTCTCTTGGGATAATTTTTCTTTTCGTAACGTCATAATCAGTATCAGAATTTAGTTCCGATGTTAATTCAGCTTTTTTGGCTTTTTCCCTGGCTGTTTTATAGTTATCTGAAAATATGCAAATAAATATTTATATTATTATAACAAAAAAATAACAATTACGTATTTACTGATTACAAAAATATATTGTATTAATGACATGCATATATATTTAAATATTAATTTTTTTTATATTAACCATAACTGCTGTTTCTAAAAGTTATAATATCATATGAAGGCCAACATGTATTTGGTTCGGCATGTTTTTTGATTGCCGCTGCAATTTTTTCCATTTAAACGGCGGCCAATAACATTTATTATTAATAATCCAGGTAGATGGGACTGCTTCAACTGTATCTTCATTAATGAATCTTACAATTGTCCATAATTTCTCCATTTCTGTACATATCATAAAAAAATTTAAGCAGCATTTTATTCCAACTTTACTTATAATTTACATATATAAAGACGAAAGTTTTCAAAAACTCATTGGAAAATTGGATATCGGAACAGGATATCGGAAACCGATTGACATCTATAAATCCATTTCCTTTCACACTTGACACTCACACCATATGCGCGCATACACACTCAAATACACATTTACATATAAGCATATACACATATACATATATACACATACGCACAAATGTATACATACGTACAGTACATACATTAGAGGAAATAAGTTAATGCATTTTTGTTAGAGGAAATAAGTTAATGCATTTTTCTAGCGAAGAGCACAAGAGAAGAAGAAAGATTATTCTGAATGCAATAAAGGAAAAACTACATATTTATTTTTATATTTTAATTTAATACATTTATTCGCAATTTGCTCTAAATCCCAAGATTCTAAATTCCCAACATCATTGATTACATATATGCCTAATTTTGACGATTTACATGGTATGGTATAAAAATCTGTAAGCATCTTATATTTCTTTCCAATTACAAAATGGCCTTCATTATTTACAACAAAATTTTTAATAAGAATAATGTTTCCATCTTTTAAGCTACAGCAATTATCGGGTTCATTTATTTTTAAAATAAATTGTTTAAACACTATTTTGCCGAATTGATTACAATTATGAAAATTAATAAGTGGACCGTTAAAATGTGGATTTAAAAATTGAGGCTTATTACATCTCACTTTGAAATTAGAATTTATGCAATAGTTTTTTTCAGATATACGACAAACAATTTGTTCTAATTCCTTATTATTTTTGCGAATCATTTTTAATATAGATTGTAAATAATTTTCGAACGGAAAAGTACTGAATTCTTGAAGAGTTCCAAATTTTTCTGCGTCATCACAAATATGTAATAAATGATGCAGGTTGTGCGATGCATTTTCTTTACCATATAATTTAATAAATGTTTCTACAAAATATTGCAATAAGGATTTGGAATAATTTAAATATTGTTCCATATGCTTTGAATTTGACAAGATAGTAATAGCTACATGTAAAGTTAGAAATTTAAATACTGATCATAATTTAGAATAGATTTTAAAACAACAGATCCCGTATATAATAAAAAAGTTCTAAATTCGGTTGCCTTCCATCTTTTACTTTCAAATAAAGATCTTGATTTTCTATTAAATTCAAAAGGTATATATTTTTTTTGATTTTCTAATAATTTTGATATTTCAGACATTTGACAAAAGGATAATTTTGTTTTAGGTTTTCCATAACACCATAAAGAAATCAGTTTCTTAACAATTCCCAAGAATATTAAATGCATAGGATCTGATGGAAAATCATTCACCATATTTATATTAGGAATTGATTCAATTATTGATGTACCTGTATGATGGTTTTCCTGTAATTTCAAACGGAATTCATTATCTGTTCTTAATGACAACTATTCAAATACGGATACGTCATTCTATTAAGGTAATATTCGCCTTTAGCTGTACATTTAGAACAGGCGTAATAACCTGAATGACCCTTTGTATAAGTAATAAAAGATTTAGCAGGAACATCGCATATAAAAGATTTAATTTTAAAAGAATACGTGCGATCTTTAATTTTTATACCATAAATAGTTAAATTTCTTGCTTCTTCTATGAAAGATTTTAAAAATATATTGGCATCTGTGGGTTTTTCATATCCATGATAAATTCCAATAACATCAACTTCATTGTAATTTCCAATTAAATTGCATAAAATGGGATAAACTTGACTACTTGAACTTTTGAATAATGGTAGGCCATCAATGTTAATGTTAACTTCAATACAGTGTAAATTTTGAAAAGAACATCGCGTTAAAGTGTTTTAATGCAATTACCTAAACCGAAATGATAGTAATGTCCTGGTGGAACGACGTCTACATTAATTTTCCTGGGAGTTCCTAATAAACTGCGAGCATTTCTAGGCAATTCTGGATATTTAGTTTTTATATTAGATATTAATTCATTTAACGCAATATGAGTTATATTATTTTTAATTGCCCATTCTTGCAACCAAGATATAGAATTTGGAGAATTATCAGTG